GCAGCGAAATGAGGAAACTTACTTTTCTTATAAACAAATCATAAGACATTACAATGTCAGGAAAGAAGCTGAACAGGTCATAAACTGTAACGGATTTACAAAAATAGTGCCACCACGTTTGTCATAATTCCGTTACCCCACGCAATCCTTTCTTGTGCTGAGAAAAGTGATGCTGTCCCAAAACATAGCACTGCTGGAAGATTATTATAGCTTTTTTCCTGTTGGAGATGAAGTTCTAATAAGCTAGTGATGTGCTGGGTTGTATTTTATGCTCATTCTGTGCTAGGGGTAATTTCAAAGCAAGCTTTGATAAAAGAATAGTTTACTATGCTTTGTGCGTTAATATTTTTATTGATCCAGCAGTTCAGCTTATTTGAATCAAAGACAAACATGTCAATAACTACTTGCAATGATTTCAGCTTAAAACTATTGCTGCATTTTAAGATAGCGCTATATTTAAGTGCAACATGCTTGACAAACTGAAACAAAAACCAGTGGATGCCTCACAATTTGCAGAAGCTGTTCAGTCCTGTGCCTCCTCTTATTGCTCCTTCAGTAACAAACTAAAATGCTCCTTTTTTCTGGCTGTACATCACTTGTGATGTGACTTTCATGTTCAACAAAATACACATGAAGAATCTGTAGGCTGCCTTTTAATGCTTTTTTCCCCCCTGTCTTGTAGAGAGCTGGAATGCTTTCAAGTATAATTACTTAGAACAGACACTAATGTATTTCAGTTTGCACTCCGTTTTCAGGTTGGTTTGTCTTCAGAAATGTAATAGTGGAAATTTATACAGCACCCATGCTTAGAGACGAATAATGTTAATGGCTATTGGGCCAACATATGTAAAAGAACTTTAGTTTAAATAGCACTCCAACCTTCATGCCGTACTATTCATTTGAATTGCTAAAACGCAGTGAGCTCCTTCTGAAATAGTCCTTAAGCCGATATGAAAAGATTTGCAAAGAGGAGAAACACCATACACGAAAAAAGATGAAAATTTAAAAAGAAAACCAAAACTACACAAAAAAGTTACAGAAATTTGTCTTTATATTACTAGGAGATAATGATACAACACAAGACTCTGCTACGGAGCGTAGCAAACACCGTGTACGTGCGTACAAATGAAGCTGTACAGTACAGTGCATCTGACAGACGCTGAACCGTTCCTTTGGCTCTGGGACACGGTGGCTCTGCCACACACCCCACTTGCTGACACCTTTGGGTGACAGTTTGACCAGTAAACGGCAGAAGGCTCTGTCAGTGCTCCCTGTGCACCAAAATTTAATGACGACAATATCCATATTGCACAGACCCTTTCAATGACAAACCGTGTGCAACCGCATTTTACGCCTCTCGAGCAAAATGGAAGAAATTTTGAAGCGGGAGCGTCTTCACTCTGCTTTGCCAACGGGTGACTCTGGCTGGACCCAACCGCCGGGAATCCTTCACTGGGGCTAATTCACTATGTGTGGGGTAGCAAGAACAGCCAAGGTGGCCAAAAGGTTTCTGGTCTTTTCTGTCTCGCACATCCCCTGTGTTTTTATTCCAGGCAGTTACACAGCACACTTGGGTATTTCTTTCGCAGCTACTGATTAACAACAGTGCATTTAGTCACTTAAGCAAATTGGCTCCTTCCGTTGCTGGTGAAATCAATTTCTGAGCGTGTTTGCCCCATTAGTAGGGAGTACAGCTCTTCCTTACAAGTATCTAAAGGGATTCAATTCTCCTTCCACCAATTTGTGAAGTGCAAGTTAGTGGATTACGTATCAACACTGTTACTGGCTCTCACCACACTCAACCATTGACCTCTAGTAGTAAACAAAATAACAAATTTCTGAAAGAATAATCTGTTTTGCAGGCATTCCTTTATCAACAACATCACAGAACAGATTGATTAATTGCTGTGATGGTGTGGTTCTTTTTAAAAATGTCTTTCTTTTCCACAGGCCTGACCTGCGAGGATGAAAAATCCCACTGTTAATTACCAGACTGCTATGAAGTTGGTAAAATGGTGAAATAATCACTCACTGTAGTAGCAGAGACTGCTGTGAATACCTCCAAAAGCAGAAGTGCACCCTGCAGCTGAACACGCCCTGCGGCTCAGATCGGGATCAGGTCTGCAGGCACAGCTCACACATGCAGCTTCACCTCCATCTGTTTCCCAGTTCTCTCCTTTTAGGTTCATCCACTGAAACGGGTTATGCAGAGTGCACAGTAGGATGCTCAGAATATTGATATTTATCACAGTAATTTATTTGTAGATCAATAAAAGTAACTGATTTTTTAAAAAAAAATATGTTAGGCTTTGTGTGGTATAGCTGAACCCATAGCTCATCAATGTCAAAAATAATTGACATATAATAATTCTGACCCATTTAAGGTCAAATAAAGTCTGAATTCTTTAAGTTAAATGCAAGTTGTATCAGATTTTAATTATTTTTCTTCCACCCCAAATCTTACACTAGGAAATTAGTATTTAGGATAGAAACTCGTCTATAAGCACCAGGTGAAAAACTGTCCTTCTCACGGATTTTGGGGGCCTTTTTATTTCTGCTTTAATCCAATAATACTCACTCTGAGTTTTTTTCTCCACAAGACAATACAGGATCTGGCCTCTGGGTAGCAACGTGCTGTAGTTTCTACTAGCCAAGCCCTGCTCTTTGCAGAAGATCAACGAACCAACCTTGGGCAGAGAGAGTATGGGCGTGAAGGAGGACTCAGCCCCCATCTGCAGTGGAGAACCTGCAGGAAAAGCCAACAATTCTGATTTTTTTATGCCTCTGTCCTGTGACGGCAAAGTGCACTCACGGAGCTGACCCAAGAGCAATGAAGAGGCATCTCAACACCTGTGTGCTGCAAGGGAAAACCCTTCCTTTCTCCTCCCACCAGGAAACAGGCCAAACCTCTGCGTCTCCATAAAAAGAATTTCTCGATGACTTCATCTCCCCAGAGCCTTTTCCACACAGGAAAAGACCTTGCAGCCCTGTAATCGTGTCCCTACTCCGTTTCCCGTGGGGCAACTGCAGAGAAAATAGATTCCCTGAGCAGCATCATCTCCTCACCTGCTAAAAGCACGGCCATGAAACAGACCGGCAGAGCTGCCGAGGCGGTGGCAGTATCTAACCTTGCAGCAAGCACCATGCTTCCCGCAGTCACGCTGTGCTTACAAGTACAGCTGCATATGCGCTCACGCAGATGCATGCACACAAAGCACACACACAAATATAAAAAAAAAGTAATAAAACCAGATACTATGTGCGTCCCAAGTGCTATGGCCACCGGTAGCGCTGCATTGGCTGCTCACAGGTGATTCACGTCCCTACAGGAATGGCAGAGCCCGGATCGTCACCGCGCGTTGGCCGGGGCAGGGCTGGGCTGCAACACTGCTGGGGGGACAGGTGGCCACCCAAAACAGCCACCAAACCTGGCACTTGAAACAGTCGTCCCATCACCTTCAAGTGGGCTGCTTCTGTCCGAGCTGCAGAAAAGGCGGCTGTGCCCAAAAATACCACCTTAAATTGGGCTGCACTTGAGGGAGAATGACACAAGCAGAATGGTGTCATTTTTCTTAACCGGCATAATAGCCCCCAGCTGTAATAACTGAAAAAGTAAAAACAAATAAACCCTTTTTATTTCCACTCAAGATTATTCGAGTAATTTTTATTGAAAATATAAGATCTACAAAGCCATGGATACCCAGCGTGGAAGAACTCATTAAGTTAGCACATTCATCTTTAAAAGGAAAATTTCAGGTTGACCTAAGGTACAATAATGTTCAATTTAAAATCTCGGTTTTCCTTCTGTAAGGTTCAAATCTCTTTTCATTAGGAGGTTCTGTGCAAGAGCTGCTTGTCATGAAAGGAAACACTTTACAATTTATGAATGTGTTCATTATATAATAAATGAACAGCAACAATATACTAGCCTTTTTCTTTCCTGTTAACAGTCGTGTGTTAAAGTAAACTCTTTTTTTGTTTTCCATGATTTGGAAATTAGTTACATATGCACCAAAGGAGCTAGTAATTTCTGCTGCTTGTCAGCTACACACAATGAGTATATTGCTGTGTGCTTTCCCCAACAATGAGGATTTTAGTAATATGCAAGGTGTATAGAACATAATACCAAAACCTGCATCACAGAAAAGGTTAATTGTTTTCTTATTCAGCTGCCAGAGTTTATAACCTTAGGCCCCTCCCCAGAGCCAAAGTAGGGGTGGCCGTCCATTAGGTTATGTAAATTAAATGTATACGTTTTCCTTGTTGGCAAGTTCCAAGCAGTAAGCGAGAGTGCAAACAAGGATCTGTAAGCTGCCACAAAATGTATTCGTATTTCTACTCCGTGTTGTAAGAGCCAAAGGGAGGACACGTATGTCAGATGTTGAAAGAACAACTGAACCTTTGTTTTTGATCATGATGGTCAGTCTGTCATGAGGTCTTGTATCTGAATGCTAAAAATGGCACCACATTGGACATCCCATAGCCTTACACAGCACGTGTGTGTTTCCCTAGCCACCGAGCGCTGGTCTCACAGAGACCCTGACTTTATAAGCTAACAAAATACAGATTCGGGTGCTGAAGAATCCAAGGGAGGGCTTATCCAAAGACAATTAACCCTCGCACCAAAACCCAATTTTATGGTTTTACTTAAAGCCACGCTGATTCAATAGTGAGAGGGCGAAGATATAAAGACACCTCTCTGCTTTATCCGAAAGAAGGTGGACAACTGACCATTCCAACAGAGGGGCTTGAAACAAAGCTCAGTTGTCCTTTAAACAATGAGAAGGAGAGGCATACATCAATGGTCACCAAGGCACAATATGACAAAGGTGAAGAGTCCCTGAGACTCTGGTCTGGGTCTGTACCATTCCCCTCCCTATACAAGTAAATGAGAACATTTAGGAAAATATAATACAAAATCTCTTACAGGAAATATAGACTACACTTGCTAAAATCACTCCCCTAAAAGTGTTTATAGCTTTTTTCTTTTTTTTTCTCATTTTTTTCTTTTTTTTTTCCCTTTTTTCTTTTTTTTTTTTCCTTTTTTTTTTTTTTAAAAGACCTTCTTTAAACAGATAATGCAAAGACTGGTCCATTTTTTTTTCTTACCCGGCAAGCCAAGCTCTAATGACTTCACTAAGCAGAAGTTGTATTAAAATACATCTTCATAGTATTGCTACAATTTGGGTAAATATGTTCTGAACAGCTTGATGAGTACTAAATAAACTTCGCTGTTTTACAGCATACATTTTAATTTTTTTGCACTTTTTTAAGAATAGAAAATGCAATTATAGTGTGCAAAAGAAAAAAAAAAGATTAATTATCTTCTAGCTGAATACTGTAATTTTAAGCCATGCCTTCCATAAAAATGTATTGACATGTGTAAATAGAAGAAAAAAAAAATACAAGCAAACAGAGATTTCATTTCCTTGCAAGGAAAGATTAACTATCACAAACTGGAGTTCTGTATTCTTCAGACAAAGAAATGAAAAAAAAACCAACCCAAAAAACCACTGAAATGCTTCAAATGTCATCCATTCCACGGTAACAGGTTAAAATTGCAGTGTTGCTTTCTGCTGCTCCCATTAACATGGATGGAATGATTTGCTGCTGGTTGGATATTGAATACAAAAAAGCAAAAGAAAGTTGAGATCATCCCATATGAAGTCATTACTAGAGCTGGCTTTTCCCCGTTTTGAAGTACAGTAGTGACTTGTAAATATGACCTTTTCTAAAGGTCATCTGAGATTTGAAGATTTATCTGCCTGCTTCACCCAAACAACAACTGAACGAATTTATTCGATATATATGTATATGCTATACAGCACTCAAAATAGTTTGGGGTTTTTTTTTCATTAAAAAATACCATAAAAAGCAGTTTTAGGTTTTCATATCTCCGAATCACTAACACGTTGTAGATTCCATTTAATCTTCCACGTTTGAAAATGGTTTCCGCAAAATCAAAATAACTGTCCAACTCCCTTACGCCATGCTTCCAACAGTTTGAATTTAATACTTGAATGGAATCACAAAATTTATTCTCTTAAATTTGCAGTATGGCTACATCAAGCTAGCTTTAAGTCACAACTGTACCTAACCACAGTTCTCTGCAGCAAACCCATGATTTACAATATCTAATATTGTGGTTACAGTGCAGGGAACCGTGGGTAAGAAACCTCCATGTCAGAGTACTGTGGTTGGGGTTTCCCGGAAGAGTGGCAGTTGACACCTCTGGAATATTCATATATAAGTGCTTCAGTCAGATGGTCCTGAGTTGAACGGGGAACTCAGGCACTATGAGAGCCTGGCATTCAGTCTGCGGGAATGTGTGTAACCTCCGTCACTCGAACCGCTTTGCAAACTGTAGTGGTCTTCAGCATCACTGGCACTTCCAATACTGTCCATTTCACCTGGAGTGAACTCCATTCCTTCAATGTCTACTTCTGAAGAAAACATAAGAAGGCACATGTTCAGAAACACAGCGGTTGCAGCAAGTAAGCACGGGCCAGTACTGCCTATGTCAATCAACGTTCAGGTGAAACCTGAATCACACTTCATTTTCTGCAATTAAAATGAAGGAACTGGAACAGTATTTCCTGAGGAAAGGATCACCTTGTCCACCTGAGACTTCAAGTCCCTTCTGTCCTCATCCACACAAATATACTGCATGACATCAGTACCAAATGCTGTCCCAGAACTGTTCCAACCTGAGCACACGCACTGATCTTAAAAAAACCCCAACCCTCGGAGGCCACAATGCTGCAGCTCCATTCATGCTAATTCCAACCTATCCAGGTGTCGCAAGTGGCGACCGTGGAGTAGCCATCTGTCCACCGGGAACCGCACCCTCACCAACTCATATCTCCCATAGGCCCTGACAAAGTCAGCCCATGCAAGGGTTCAGGCACAGAAACACTTCAACTGAGCACAGAAGAAATGGTGACAGGCAGCTCGAAGAGCTGTCTCTTAAACGAGAACCAAATGTAGAGAACACTTGGTGATCGTTACACAGAAAATACTTTAAAATTTCACAATAAATGATGTGGAATTAATTTATTCACACAAACAAATTAAGACCAGTAAGATCTTTTTTCCAAGAAGAAAATATTATACCAGCCTTACCAATAATCACACTAAAAATTCAGGACATTAAATGGTAATTATTCAAAAAACTGGCAGTATAAATAGCTTTAAAAATATATGCAGTATTAATAGCTCCAAAATTGATCAGAAAAAAGAACACTTTTCAAATAATGTAAAAAAGATGCGGTAGTTTTTCATTCTGCAAAACACATAATGGAACAATTTTGTCTGGGTTTTGTTGAAAGGCTGATGTTAGCTCTAAATAATGTTTTCTTGCTTCCCTAATTCCCTTTCCCTTCTTGCTCCCACAGCTCCCTCTGGGAAGCTCTCGTTCAATTACCTTGTTCAGAGTCAGTGGATATTGTTGATCCCATACTGTCAGTGCGGATACGCTCCATGCCCTGCACGGAGAGCTGCTCCAATCGGCGCTTGAGGTAGCGGTGTTCCCGCTGTAATTGTTCTTTAATATTTAGAGCTTTTCGGTCCTGTTCTTCCAATTTCTTAAAGGGAGAGAAAGATAGTAAGGCAACAGTTTTTACTCATGCTAAAACTTAAGATCTTCTCATAAACAGACTATTTTAAAGCAATTAAAACATTTTAATGAATTTAAAGTCATTATTTTTTTGTTACCATCCTATAGAGGTCAGTACAATTTAAGCAGGTCAGCCCAGAGCTGAATTTGTTTTGTGGGGGGGATGAAATCCCTCAGAGACTCTTTTGCCACTAGCAGACGTTTCTCAGCCAAGACTGAATTATTGTTGCCATGGCTGTGGGGAATATTGAGATCACATTGTCAGGCAGAACTGGCCCCGTCCTTGACAATCAGAGCACAGCTCAGGTTTCAGCCAGAACCTAACACCTCTTTAGGTGAGAGAAGAGACTTAGCACCATAGAGGAACCACTGTGAGCCTCCTGCATGCTCTCCTCCTACCGCAGGCCATGGGAATTTCTACCATTTAGAAAACTTCATTAACCATAAGCAATATTAATCATATATAGTAGGAGGAATTTACTAACAATTCTCTTTATTCTTGCTTTTTTTCCCGCTTGAACAAATGTGGTAATTCTGTGATAACCTCCTATAAAATCAGTGGTATTAATCCAAAACTTCCCAGCAAACAGCCTGTGAAAGGATCCTTCCACACATCTACCCAAAAATCTCCATATCCTTGAAAAAAAATGAGGTATTCATTTTGGAAATAAAGAGAATAATTCACATTCGATAAAATGTGCTCGTAAAATGCAGTAACAGAAACAGTATTTTTTAAGATTTTAACTGAACTCTCTTCCAAGTCACTGATAGCCATTAAAAAAACCCCTATACAATTAGGGGAGAAAGTGCAATGAGTACGATGGGTTCAATAGCATGAAGGACACACAAATAAAAAAAAATTCATCATCCAACTGATGAAGGAAATTACAGGTTGTAGCAGTAAAAGCATTTATCAGAAAGACCGAATTTCTCTGCGAGCCGTGTTTACACGAGCACTGAGATTTAGGAGACGTGCAGGAGTGAATACAGCTGCTGACGATCCCTCCCATCTGAATGAACCTATGCGTGGTTTTCTGAGGGGGAGCGGGGGGGACACTGCCCAGAAACCACACGCAAATCGATTTCTGAGATTTTGCTGTTCCAATCTGAAAAAAGAACTGGCATTATTGAACTGGGCAGTTTCCTGGCTGAATGAAATGTAACTTCTGCAGCCCCGTGTCCAGCCCCCGTGCAGGCAATGCACTACGTAGACGTGCATCATGCGTGGATACGCAGCGTTATAATAAGAAAAGAGGCTGGTACACCCATGTACACAAAAAAACAAATGTGCCCAATTGATCACATTTCCTTTTCCTCTATTTTCCTGGCTGCAATCCCAAACTGTAACAACTATTTTAGGAATGAACTCAGTGATTCATATCCAGGAGACTCAAAACCATGAAAGTTTCAATATATGGGGGCGTGCGTGTGAAAGGTTCAGAAGTAATGACTGCACTGGAAATGGCAGCCAGGCATTGGCGTGCTCTGCCACTGCAGCGGGGAGGGAGCTGACCTGACCAAGAGGAGCCATTCAGTGGCAACCCAGTTAGGGCAGGTTCAGTTAAAATCTTAAAAAGAAAGCTAAACTTCAGTACCAGTTTTCAGAAAATGAGGACGTGGTACCGCGCATGGTGGACTTGGAAAAAATCTGTTCCTAGCTTTTTTTATCAGCAGCTGAAGTGGTCACTACAAGGCTAATCTCTCACGCTTGCCATTTGTAAAAACAGGTTTTCGGTCTGTATGCATAAGCTCATGATAGGGGGGCAGCCCAAGACAAAAACCACATGCGGTGCCTTTCACGCATGTTAGCCTGAATTATAAACAAGAGGCCAAAATCTCAAATGGTGAAAACAGGGGTTGCCCAGCTGGAGTAAATGTGCTCGCAAGAGCTGAAGCAGCAGCTCAGTGAACTTGTTCACAAGAACGGTTTTGCTTAAATTCATCTTTAATTCTCCATATGAATTACAACCATTTTTGCACCTGCAGTGAATCTTAACGCCGTACAACAGCAGGCTGTTCTCCAAAATATTCCGAGATTACTGGAAGTGTTCAGCCTCTCCTGACACTTTTCTGGACCCATTTCCCTGTAACACTAAAAAAATTACAGTCCTGGACACAGCAGCAGCAACCTGTTCTTTAACTTTTACATCTGAATACCTGTTTGTCTTATTTCTGCATATAACCCCATTCCCCTGAAAACGACAACAGTGAAAATGGGAGTGAAGGTGTCTTTGGAGGTCTGAGGAGTCACCTTTGGATCACCTGTGCAAATGTATCACCTCCACAGCTGCTGGATCACTGCTGAGATTTTGGGTTGGTTTTTGTTTTAACCTTGTTACACCCATGAAAAGTACAAGGGGAGTGGCAACTAACAGGAGATTGCATTTCCTTTTGGGTTCCTTTTAAATGATTGACCAGGACCTGGTCATCCAGACGTGGGATGGAGACAAGACTTACTGGTAGCTATAATCCCTTTGACTTCATTAGTTTTTTTCAATCATGGCTTTTTTACCTTGAAATCAATGCAGTACAATGCTACTTTGCTTAGTCCTTAAAAAATGAATATATTAATCAAAGAAGAGCTTTGATACATATATATATTTAAAAAAAATACAATGCAAACCACTAGTAACTAAGCAGAAATCACAAAATCACCACTTCATGTATCTGAGACTGCAGGGTAAATTGCAAAACACAAAACCTTGATACTGTGACTGAAATCCTTGCAACTAATGAAGGCCAATATATCCAGAAGATGGGACATATGGATATGGATTTTGTGTGAAAATTAGTTTCCTCTCTATGGATACACATTCTGGAAGATTCTGCTTTAAAAGAAATAAAAATAGGGATGGATGTTTTTACCTTGATATGCATCTTAGCTCTTTTCAACAGACTTAGAGTGGTGTGTCTGGTGCTGTCCGGCCCGAGAGGCACAAGCTGTTTTAGCTGTTCCAAATATAGCCGCAGTTTAGCCCGCCTGAAATTATTAAAAATGAAGAGGGTTGTAGTAAAGTTGCACCCGAACAGCACATCCTATATGCAAACACCATCTGTTTGCAGGATCTCTGCGCAGAACTCGATTCAACGGTGGCTTCCTCTCCCCTCCCTTTGGCAAAGTTTCAGACTGAAAGGTCACTCGAAATGCAGCAACGCTGCTTGGCACATTCAGAGAGCAGCTTCATACCTCTGTTTCAAAGCCGTTTGCTGAGTCTCTCTCTTTAGTCCCATCTTAACAATTGGGGAGTGCACTCTGCGAAATCCAGGCACGGCTGCACACCGAGTTCACGGCTGGGTAAGGAAGAAAAGCTAGGACTTTGCTCCAGCGCAGTGATTTCTGCAGGCAGAGATGGCCCTGTGGGCAGCAGGGGGGCCTGCAGCCCGGGTCCCCTCTCCCCCATTCACCCTCCTGATGCTCCTGCCACCAAGGCAAAGGATCCCTGCAGCCCTGCACAGCTCCGAGCTGCTTCCAGCCGTGGTTCATCATGACGAAGGTCCTGATCCCCCTTCTCCTCCAATCTACCGACTCACAGCCCCCAGAGGCAGACATTCCTCCTCTCAGCACACAGCCAGGATAACCTTTGCTATAAACACATAGGAGAAAACACTCCCAACCAGCTTGGGTCCTGCTTTCCTTTGCAGGTATCACTAGTGCTGCTCTAAACAGTCTCTCATGCACTGATGACATTAAATTCATCAGTAAAAGAGGATAAACACAGTGCTATTTCTACAGATATTTTGTTTCCAAACTTTGTCAGTCTTTAAGAAAGAAGCCAGCAATTCAGTGGTCCATGAAACAGCTGCTTCAACCATCCAAAACACAGCAGTGGCAAACTAAAGAGCAGTGTGTGAGCGTGCTCCTACAGTTAAATCCAAAAGGAAATCTCTCCTGGTTTTAATGCACAATTGTGAACAGGAATCCATACAAAATCACCTTACGATGAGATAAGAAGAGATGTGGAAGCGCTTATAGGAGCAACATCTCCACTATTTTCCTTTCTGCCAGTTACAGACTGAGCAAAGCCATGACCTGGAGCACACAGACATCCCCCGCAAAGCCACAGTAATAAGTGAAGTGGCTCACAAGTGTGAGGTGAGTAATCATCCCTTGCAAACCTGCTCTATGCTGCATGGAGGCAACAAACTTTGCAGCAAATTTAATGCTTCTGCTCAAAAATGAACTTTCTTTTAACAATCAGTTCGGAACCAGAATTCAGCATCAGTGTTTGAACTGCAGCTGAAGAGGATTTAATACGCACCAAATTACACATGTGTAATTGGAATGATTAGTGTAATGCGAAAACAACCTGAGAATTAATGGGGAAAAAACCCAAAGCAAAAAAAATAATCTAATTAAAATACAGCACTGTAACGACTGTACGCTCGCACGTTTAGTTCTGGCCGCCTGTAAATCAGCAACCCATTAGGTAGGAAGTCAAAGAGCATTTCTATAAAATTGTTCATTCTTTCTTCAAACCACTTAGGGGAAAAAGAACATTGGTGAAAATGTGAATCTCAAGCAAAAACTGATGACAGATTCTTTTTTCAGGCCTGGGGTTTGTTTTGAAATGCAAGGCCCTAAATGTAACCATCTATATGTTTTTATTTAAACAACAGCAACAAAGACTGGGGTAAATGTTCCCAAAAATAGCCCCATTAGACCACAGAGCACCTCTTTGCTTGCAAATGTAAACTGGAACCTAATTTAAACAGATCCCAAGGGTGAAATACCAGAGTTAGGGACTACTGTTATTTATACAGAAAATCCTAATCAGGTACATTTTTATTTCTGTCTGTGATCTCTAACAACTATCTGGCTGGTTTTGTGTTTTAAATAAAAAACCTGCTTCAGGGACTAAATTCAATTAATCTTTTTGGTTTTTAAATGGCCTCTAAACACACACGCAATCATCTGCGTCACTCGGCACAACTTGGATGCAACTGTATTTAGACAGCTGACAAGAAAGTGGGGACTGAAGATAAAAGAGGATGTGGCAAGGAAGAGGACGAGAATAGTATCCAAGTAGTAAACAGAGAGTTAAGTACATTGAAAGGGAACGATCAATATACTCGCAGTAATTAAAAGTCTGATAAGGAATATACAGAACTGTTGATCTGAGATCTACTTAATATTAATCCTGGAAAACATTAATGAAACCAGACTGCATATTCCACTTATCTGCCTCTATTACGCTCTGAAGAAAGTCTGCTCACCACAGGGAAAAAAATAAGGATTTAGTGCACTTCCTTCCCATCAACCGAGAATTAACAAAATGTTATCAAGACGCAGCGGGCATGGCCGTGTGGCTTTTTAAAGTGCTCGTTCATTTGTTACCTGCCAGCCAGGTAAAACAGGACTTTACACAGTGCCACAAAGAGCACAACTGAAGCTAAGGAGAATATTTTAACTGACCTATGAGAAGAATTAAAAGAGGAAAATATTTTTAAAAATTGCCTTAAGGCATTCTCAGCACTAAAAATTGACAGCACTAAATGTAATAAACACACTTGCGAAAAAAACCTGCTCTAACTTCACCTTTTATTTTCTAAGGGATTTTTTGTTTCATTTATTTACTCAGCAGCTATGAAACCATTAAAGACTTTAAAGCATAAGCACATAGATCTTTACATAAATACAGGCGTGTTTATGTGGCTAATTCATATATCATAACACAACAGCATAATCGATGGCATAGATTGTGAATGTTAAAAAAAAGAAAACCAGCTCACCACAGTAATTCCCGGGGTACTGGAACAAATATCCCCACATTTTTCAATCTGCACATCTTAGAAAGAAACGGTAAGAATGTAAGAAAACATTTCAGGCATGTTTTGTTAACAGCTCGCAGCCGCAGGAACAAGGGACGCAAACTTCACAGCAGAGAAGTTGTCACGTACAGACGCTGCCAGCACCGATTTCTCCCTCTTTCTGCAGGGACCTGACAGCTTTCGTGTTTCCTCGTTCCCCTGCGAGCACCGCAAGAGGGAATGGCATGCACAGAGGTAAGCGCAGCGGAGCTGCTTCGTGTTGTGCAGCTCACGCCTTAAATACCACCTAGAAAACAAGCAAAAAGCAGCAGCCTGGCCTCAGAGCAACGGGTAACGGTCTCTGTGCATGAAACGTGGCTGAATTCGGGTAATTATGGCCTGCTCCAGCTTCAAACCCAACTGTGACACTTTCACCCACACAAAGTGCGGTGTCAGGCCAGGACACCGGCTCCTACAGAGGCGGGCACTTTTCTTACCTCCAGCACAGAAATATCCCCCTCGTCACTGCTACTGAATATATCAAGGAAGGTGAGGACCTAAAAAGAGGCATCCAAAATCTGAATCCTCGAACCTGCAGCTCTCCGTTTTGGGTACAGCCCCACGCATGGAGAGGGGCACATGAGTGACCTGTCTCTCATCCACCACGTTTTCCTTTCTGCCAGGGATAAAAGCGTTTCAGATGCTCAGGACTTCAGCGTTTCCCCATAAGTGAGCTCAGAACACAGTCCTATAAATCTGCATTATAGCTCTTGCAACGCTTAACAGAAATGAATTACTGAGCCCGCAGACATGGTCAGCGTCCCACAGCCATGGCCATGTCCAGAGGCAGTTGGGTGGTTCATCCTGTTCACATGAAGGAGAATGCAACTTGTTGACAACCAACATAACAGGCAATGCAACAGCTGGAATTCCCTTGAACTGGCTTTGAATCCATGAAATACTGGCAGGTATCTCAGAACCAGCAACAAAATGAACCCTGGAGCCCCACAACTTGGAGGGACAAAGCAGCGACACAGGAATTGCCCCACAGGACAAGGACATCCACCAGATTTAATGTGAAGACCACTCACTGACTCCAGTCCTGAGAGACTCCAGTTTGCTCCAGTGCTCAGCTACGAAAATGCGGGATGAATGCTGGCCAGCGAAGCTACGGTTCACCACTTCTCCAAAAAAGGCTGCCATGCAAAATAAATGAAGATTTTGACTCTAAACAATTTCAAAATCATGCTAAATGAGTCTATAATGGTCAATAAGCTCCCGCATATGTATGAAGTCCCAGATGCAAATCCATTTTAGCACACCAAGAAATGGAATAGTAAGATGGGGGGGGGGGGGGAAA